TGATGTAAAAAAAATGAATAAACAAAATAATTTTTTTTTAAATAATTTTTATTTGTGACATTCTTTAACCAATTTCTTTCCAGTTAGGGTTGAAAAATGTTATTAGTGATTATGGGCCACCAATTGTTCCATAACGTAGTACCATTGTTGGAAGAATTGCCTGGCAAAAGGCACGTAATCCAAATAACGGCCAACGGAGGGCAAGAAACCAGGGGGCAACAATTCAGTGATGGTGGGGAAAGCATTTAAAGCGTTGTCAACAAAAGCGTAGAATTGATGAGGCATAAAGAAATCCTTGAGGGCACGGAAGAATTCTTTGACGGCAGTAAAGAATTCAGGGGTGAAGAATTGGTTGTAGCTAGGCCAGTATTTGAAGACGTTTTCAACGGCAGTTTGGACTTCGCTGGGGAAGAATTGAGCGAATTGTCTGTACCATTGGTAGAAGATGTTCTTGAAGAATTCGTAGAAGCGGCCGAAGTATTCAGTAACATCATAAGTTTCGTGTTCCTTGATAGTTCTGGTGTAGGGAGCAGCGGTGGTGTAGTAATGGGTACCATGCTCTACATTTTCACCATAGTTGGCAGCAACCACCTAACAAACGATAAACGACATATATTATTTAAAAATTCCCTTTACCAAGGTAATATGCTTACATTCAAAGCCACAGCGGCTACGACGAACAAAGTAACGAATTTCATGTTGCTTGATGTTTATAGAATTTTTACCGTTTCCTAAGAGGACTTCGAAAGACTCATGTCATTTGCAGAAAATGTTACGGTATTTATACTAAAAAATGCTCCTAAGAAACTGCTTTGCATTGGACGAGCATGATTTCGTGATAAGAAAATCGTGTTTGACATCGTCTTCATCATGTATTAGTAAGATTAATTTTTACAGTTTTTCACTTACAGTTTAAATTTCACTTATTTTTTTCGATGATTTTATGATAAACGTTTTAGTGTAAAAATTTTCTTGTAACTATTTCGCGGACACATAGAAATAAGTGAATCTTGGGAAATTAACCGTTTGAGTACCAAGCAGCGCGACCGCGCTGTTTAGATTTTATGTCGAGAAATACCAGACAGTTTTGATAAAACACTGTCGAAAAATCCCAAGCAGCGCGATCGCGTTGTTAAGGTTTGATGTCGAGAAATACCAAGCGGCGTCATAACGCTTGTTTAATTTTATGTATTTAAATGCATTTAAATTGTTTGTTAATAAATATTTCAAGTCTGTTCCACAAAAATTATAGAAAACACAACACCAAAATAAAAATTTTTTTTTGTAATATATTATTGCACTACTATAGTACTATGGTAATTGTATTGCGCTCGACTTCGACAATACGTAAGGCACCGTCAGTTGTCGACAATGCTCGAAATGTGCTGGGTTCTCTCGACATAAAATCTAAACAGCGCAATCGCGCTGCTTGGGATTTTTCGGCAGTGTTTTTTCAAAACCGTCTGGTACTCAAACGGTTAAATCCAAATTCTTTAATCCTAGCAAGAGCACACTTGCTGGGCTCAAAATAGTTGAAAGCAATTGATTTATAGGATCCCATGAATAAGATCATTCGCTTAAAAGGGGCGTATATTCGCGAAGCATGAAACACTGCATTTTTGTTTTTTTTTTTGTTTCTGTAGTTCTTGAGAACGCAAACTGGGCGCAGTGTTGAGTTACAATTCTCATATGTACTAAAAAATTCCTCTTATTCCGAAAATGTCGCAAATGTTTAAGGAATTTGTATCAGAATATTCTTAAAATTCGAAAAAAAAAAACAAAACACAATAATAAAAATGAAAACTCACGACGTTGGGTCTAATAAAAATTGCACAAGTAATTAAAACGTGTTTAAAATTTCAAACTCTATTGTAATATATATATATACATATATATATATAATATTTTTAGTATAAATACTGTGATATATCAATAAAAAAATATGAGTCTTAAGAAGTTGTCCAAAGTATCGGCCAAAAGTTCTACGAAACATTCATAATGAAATTCTTTGCTTTCTTCGCTGTAGCCATCTTGGCTTTGAGTGTAAATATTAATTATAGCCTTGAGAAAAAGTGTCAAAGGTTAAATAAAAAATAAATATTCTTTTAGGTTTCGGCTAATAGCCTAGAATTGCGCGAGGAACACAACAAAATCTATTTGGAACATAACATCAAGGAATACATCAATGATTTCGCCGTCTTCTTTGAACGTTTCTACGAATATGTTAACGAGTTCTTCTTGCAATTCTTTAAAGGATTCTTCGAAACTTTTAGTCAAGTTTTCCCCACCGAATTAAGTGAAGCTTTCATGGAAATTTTTAGAAAGTGGCCCGCTTTCGACAAGGTGTTCACTAAGGAATTCTTTCATGCTATCGGGGAATTTTTCCATACTGTCTTCACCTACTTTATGCCTCATCAATTCTTCACCGTCATTGAGAACACTCTCAAGTCTTTACCTACGTTTACTGAATTCTTCCCAAAGGAATTCTTCCCTACTATTGGTAATTTCTTGGAACATGTGCCATACTGCAGAGAATTCTTGCAACAATGGTACATGATTATGCAACAATTGACTGCTCATGGACGCCAATTGTAAATTGTGTTGAATGTGATCACATGATAAAATGTTTTGCTTAAATCAAATTGTTAATTAATTTATAATAAAATATTTTTTTAGAAAAAATTTCAAAATTTGTCCAATGGTTTTGTTTTCTATTTAACAAAATGTCGGGGATCATAATATTTTATTCGAACTTATTGAAGATCAGCAAAATTAAAAAGGAACATCACAGCCATTCAATGTTGACTATTAGGTATTCTACACTACTTTGCAATCACTTCACCAAAATACGGTATTATGTATTGCGAGTGGTCATTGAATCTATTCAATTCAATCCACTTTTAATAGATGGTTCGAAATTGCGAACTATAGGTTAAACATAAAAATACGCAAACAGACCTAACAGACTACGTTGTATAGGAGAGAAGAATTTTGAAACGAGTAAAAAAAAGAATCAACAAGGAAATAAACAAAAAATTGTTGTAAGACTGCAACTTCATACCATACGTTCTAGATTAGAAATGTTAGTACTACAAAGGATTCCTTAAGAATCGGGGTCGATGCACAAGTCAAATGAAAACGACTGTAACGTACAAGCGAAAGATTGATAAATTTCGTTGTCTTTTGCTGTATTAAGTAAAGCTAAACTTTGTAGAGATTTTGATCCGTAAGGTGTTAGTTCCTGTGATCAGAAAACAAAGGTAGGGATATCAACATTAATATTGAATCACTTCTTTCGACACATGAATATAGGCTTGTGAGTTTGACATATGTTCGATCATTACTAGAAATATTTCGTTAAAGTTGAGAATACCCCGGTTCATCATCATAGAAATGATAAAGTATGGTATGGTATCAGTTCATGGCAATGCACGATTTTAAGCTACTTCGGAGAATTCTGTATTGAAAGTGGTGAAATGACTGACATTTTTGATTCGAACAGAAAACTCTTGAAGTTCTATAAGGATATATAGTATATTATATAACATGAGATTTCCCAAACTATCAAAGAAACGTCACTCTCCAAACAGGGCAATAAAATGTGAAAAACAAGAAAAATTAATTCATTCAAGCAAAAAATGATGTTATGCTCATTTTTCATTCATTTCATTTTCCGCACTAATTGATCTTCAGCTGTGCAGCTTATCTCACATAGGTTGCATTTGTTAATAAAACAAAATTGTTGCGAAAGTAATCCTCGAGAGATGTAAGAGAGAAGTTTACTATTTGTTAAGCATTGGGGAATGGTAGAATCATTGGTCGTTAACATCACGAAAATACATCTGGAAAAGTTGCTGTCGTCAAACGAGCAAATGCTTGAGGAATGTTTTTAGCCAAAAGTTGAAGAAGTTTACATCAACCCGCTTTACTGTCGACAGGACGGACTTATAGTACGTGTAACAGTTGCATGGCCGTCGAAGTTTTTAAATCGATTAACTTGACGAAATTGTCCCATAAGATGGTCAACTGAATCTTGCCAGTTAACTCTATTAGATCTTTTTTTTTTCGAAAGGCAAAGTTTATCAGGACCATCCAGCAGCAACACTCTATTGGAAAAACGGTACGCGGAATGAAATTAATGAATTAAATGAGCCGATGTGAAAACTTAAAGGCCTGTAATTGCAGTCATGGAGGTGCTTTTTATATATAATTTTTAAGTACCATAGTTTTATTTTCAATAAATATTTTTATAAACTTTTAAATTTTTTTATGTTTTATTTTAGAAAAAGCGTCTCGACGAATCTTTTGAAGAACAAAATCTCATGGTACAGCACGAGATTTTAAATTTCTGTCAAGACCATTAATATACAGTTCAGGTTCAACCATAACCTCATTCTTTCATTCAAATTTTTTTCCTTGGAACATTCTTTTATAATTTGCGATCAGACAGTAGTCTACGTGACTCATATGTAGAAACCACAGCGGGTGGAACATCAATTAGAACTTCTATCCATGCGATTTTGCTATCATGCGACCTTGCCAATATTGACTCGGGCCTTGATGCTTAGATCCAACTGTGAGTAAGTATCGCATCCATTTGGAAATCTTCGAATATCTTTAGCATATCAAGTATTTCTGGAGACTTCGATAATTAAGAATAATTGTACCCTGCACCACTTGTGGTACAAGGGCACATTAAGCTGTGTGTAAGCAGCACACAGAAGGGATTGAGATAGACGCCATATTTATTGTGCCGAACTATTTAAAATCACTTTGTGAATCTATCTGAGCTTGCCCGTCCGTCTGTCCGCCTTGGTTTCTTGTGCTCAACCTATAGGGAACACTTTTTGAGCTATTTTGATGAATTTTGATACATTGACGTGTTTGAGCTCAAGGATGATAGCTACTGAGAATGGTTTGGACCGGACCATTTTCTCTTCCGTTACATTTTACTTTCTTTTCCGGACGCTTTATTTCGAGAACCAAAAATTTGAAATGTTTCTTAGAAAGGACATCAGGGATTTGGGATTTTTCAATATGCAAATAAGTGGGAGCACATTTAACCGTACTCCAATGTCGAGGATTTGGTTCTTTTGCTGACTATATGGCTTACTGCGTAGTCTTGTCTTGGCCTAATCTTCAAATATCGCGTCAAAACGCGGCGGCGGCGGTAAATATTGACTCTCATTGCTCTCTTGCTCGGATACCATAAGTCATACCAATATCATACCATAACATTATACCACTAGAAATCGCAAATTTTGATGAATGTATTTGTGCACCCGCGTAATGCTTTGAGCTCCCCGTTTTATGGGAAAGATCAATTTCCCTTCTTGCTTAAGTCAGCGAGTTAAGAAAAAGGGCTCATAATTCAAGAAATTTTTGTGATGAAATTCGTCTTCATTTCGTACGCACCACCGAAGGATAAGTGCACATTTATTTTGCTAGAAGTTAGTTTAGGAGACTCTAGGCGAATTTCTTCTACTTTCAGAAGTGAGAATATCAGCATCAAATTTTGAAGTCTTATTCTCAGGTTGGTATTGGAAATGGACCGTATTGTGTAAGAAGACGGTTACTATTCAATATAGACGGCAGAGTCCTTTATTCGTTATTTATAAACTACAACACAACTCATAAAAATTTTCATATATAGTCTCAGGCCTGTGTTGTACCTGCATAACGAATGAAGAAATTAAACGTCCGCCCAATTATAAAGAACGTCGAAATACAATTTTTCTCACTGTTTTAAGAAAAACGCGTTATGACGAATGGATTAAATCGATTTCTTATTCATTCGAAATATCCTAGTGCTTCTGGTCTAAAATTTAAGTTCAAAACTTTAATGAACCCCCAGGGTTTTCGTCCTGGTCAGATGAAGGTTACATAAATTGGATTTGCCCACACGTCATCGAGGCCTAACTCAACCCAATTAAAAACATTACATCCATACACCTTTTAGTGACTCTGATGGTATTAGCCAAGAGTTACCTCTGAAAACTTCTTATGTACAGACATGCTTCTGAATATAAATGAACTAAATAACGCGGAATTAACTGTCTAAACGAATAAAGTAGGGCAAATTATTTCCCGTTAGAAGATAAGATTTACTGAAAGATGAGATTTACTGGCTTAATGTTTGAATTTTTTGCATATACAGTGGAAGTTTTAACTAAGCAGATGTTAAAAAGTGACTTCGATTTATTAGCTTTGCTAATAATCTATTTGACGGGAAAGCCGCCTATTGGTATTGGCGCTATCATCGAAAAGTTGTGGCTATCAAAATTGGTCTGCTTTACGTTCAGCTGTGCGAAGATTTTCGCAGTATAAAGATTTTCGCCCTACTACATAACACACTCAAAACAGTCGATTAATATATTTAACGTAATTCGTCCAAAATCTCCGAAACTATATTGAGCAGGTAGTTCTTCTCAAAGATCATTATAACTAATTTACTAACGTAACACGGCCGTTATTTGAAGATCTACCTGATGAAGTAATCCGAAGGACTTTATCCCCTGAAACGCGAATATATTTGATAAGTATCCAAATGTGTTCAGTTTTCTTTCTTTCTGACCTGAAAAAGAAGAAAGGAGGAACTGTAACGAAGCCTTTAAACCGACCTTGAAAAATTGCAAAAACGCGGTGAACGAAGACGCAGACTTTGATCTCGATCTATATCGAGACAATATTCAGGATGCATCTGAAATAAATTTAATTCACTGAAATTGTAGCTCAACTGCCTACCTAGTTGTTAGGATTGTTTGGCGGAAAGCAATTTTTTTTTTGTGATAGGTCCAGGATAACAAATACTTGTAAAGCAAACTATTCCAAGTGTAACGATACTAACGAACGTAGCGAAACACTCTCACAAACAAATAACTGTACAAACTTCTACAGCTTCGAAGTATAATTCGAACATGGTCAGCCGGTAGACTTTGACAAATGGAAACCTTAAACGAAACTAGGACAAATGCTACAATATAATTTTAAAGAAACTAAATACATACAGTACAGACTTTTAATAGGACTACGTGGTCAGATGAAGTTGAGGCTGCATTGAACGTAGTGCAGATGTTCCGCAAATCAAGTCACGATTTATTTTTTTACCGGTCTTGCTATGAGTTACGAGTGCAAAAGTCAAAATGTGATAAAAAACTGTAAATCGAATATCAACATTTCTAAGCCATAAAATAGTCTGAAGATAAAAAAAGTCACATATCACGATTCCATTTTATCAAAAATCATGCCGTTGCTTAGATTCTAAGGAATCAAGAAGTGGTATAAATACCGAAATTACAATAGTAGACAGCATCAGTTTCTTCAAGTTCTTTGAAAGCGATAGATAAAAACAAAAAAAAAAAAAAATGAAATTCTTCTCATTGTTCGTTGTAGCCCTCTTGGCCTTGAATGTAAGTATTAATGAAAAATAAAAAAAAAATACTTTTTTGTAACTTTATTAAATCCTTAAATATTCTTTAGGTTGCCGCCAAAACCACCGTTGGCAAGCATACCGAAACCACTCATCTTGAGACCGATGTTGTCCATTACAAGAGCTTCTTTGAAAGTGAATTTGGTGTCGCTCTTAAGACCTATTACAACTATATCAAACACTACTTGGCTGAACCCTTGACTCATTTAGTCGAAAAATTCTATGAAGCTTTCCAAAGAATCGAGAAATTGGTCCCCAAAGAATTGACCATCGTGTTCGGCGACTTGCAAAGACACATGCCTACCTTTGAACAATTCTTCCCTCATGACTTTATCACCTCTTTCGGCGAATTATTCATCACTATTGCTGACACTTATTTCCCCCCTGAATCCTTTGCTGTCTTCGGTAAATTCTTCGAAAGTATCCCCAAAGTAACCGACTTCGTTCCCCGCGAAGTTTTGTATAACTTCGGCACCTACTTGTCCAACGTTCCCGTTGTCAGAGAAGTTTACAAGAACACCTACTTGGTATTGGAACAATTGGTTCATCATGAAAATCACCATTACTAAGGAAGCAAATGCGACATCACCGTAACAATGGTCTGAGATGTGTGATAAAAAATAAATCAAAGTTTGTTGACATATCATGAAAAAAAATTGAGTTTTATTGCAAATTTATATGAGAGCTTTAGAGGGGTAATACGTTCGTTTTTCCTGCAAAAGTGTAGAACAACACTCCTCATATTTGGAAAAGAATCGTTAGAAGATCAGACTGAAACAGAGAGACGAACGAAGACGTAAAGCTCAAAGAATGTTTTTCTATTTTTGGAATACCGCTGTTGTATGCGGAGTCAAGAAACAGTGAAAGGGAGGCGAAATTAGTCGGAACTTTCTAGACAAGCACAATATGCAAAAAACTTGAAAAAAAGCATACCACACGTCACGTCTTATATATTAAAATAAAATAATTTTTCTTTCGCTTGTGATAATTGCTTTCAAAAAGTCACAATTTCCTATAGCAGCGTCAATTCATTCTTTCAGAAATTCTTAAGCCCGCAATTGAGAGTGTTGTTGGAGCCTAGCGAAATATTTTGCATTTCTATTCATTGCTGCTAAGGCGGTTAACTTAAGCAAATGAGGTTTTTTATTCTTAAAGTGCAGTTACGTTTTCAAAATCAGATGACCTAACGTGACAACGTAACATATTCTAGCATGAGAAACTCCTGTCCGCGGTGGTATCCAACTAGTGTATGCTTTCGAGGAAAATTCTTCAAAGGATTCTGTACACAACCGAACGCGCGGTGATGTGAAAAAGCCTATAATTATTTTCATCCACTTAAGTAACTTGTCACTTTGCCATTTGTTTTTCGAATCAATTATAATAAAAACGAATAATAATTGAAAAGGGGAAAGAAATGCTTATTAGCTTTTATTATTCAAATTTAATCTTCATGGATTTTGATCACTAAGGTTTCTTCCATATCAAATACGTTTAATGCATCCGAAAAATCTTGGAAAAGTATCTTCTGAGTACCCGAAGTATCCATTTCGAAAATCATAGTTGCGGCCGTCTCTAAGACTTGTTTGGACGACATAATATCACCATAAAGCCTATGGACTATACCTATAAAGTCTTCATGCGATATAATGCCGTCCATGTCGGTGTCATACATAGAGAAAAGCACTATGAAATGGAAATTTATGAGAACATGAAGAAAGTTTCTCTCAAAAAAAAATATATAAATAATAATAACTTACATCTTTTCTTCTTTTCCGAGGTGATCACGAGTTGTTCCTTTTTAGTCTTTAAAGTATTGGCCTGAAAAATACTTAAGAATCGGGCAAAATTCACAAAAGTTAAGGTTTTCCTGTCCTTAAACATTGCCTTCAAGAGAATAGGCAAAATCGGATTGCGAGCCAAATGTCCCACGGAAAGGAAATGTCGTTTTAATAGCCGTTTGGGTGGAAAACTGGGCGAATCTTTGCCGAGAAGACAGAATCGTTTATACAAATAGGATATCTCGCCCGTCTTCACTATAAATAAAATGAAATTGTTATGCCTAATCGATATCTAATGCACAATTTCAATGTAATATGTTTGTCATACAATTCGTGGTATTCCTTAATATCTCCATATCGCCTGGTGGACATTTCAGTAGATTCCCTGGACTAGGGAAACAGCAACCCGTCATATTGAAAATTATTCAGAAAGCTTCAATGTATTTTTAAATCGTTCCACTCTATTTGAAGTCTCTCGTATACAAAATATTTTAACAAATACAAACTTTTCGACGTGTTTGACAGCCTTGATAGCATTTTCCTATGCTAAGTTATTGTTTCCAAATAAATAATCAAAGTGTATTCATATCTTGACTGTCGAAAAGGTCCGCGTACTTTACAGATTAATAGAGAGAAAAATCTCAAAAATATAAAAATTTTCGATTTGTAATGATTTGATTTTTTAATCCATGTTCTAAGCATGGAATTTTATGCTTAAATTGGAAAATCATAATACACATAAATAAAGCCAAATTTACAAAAAAAAATATCATTTATTTAATATATTAAAAGAAGTCTACGATTAATTATTGGATAGAATTCGAGTATTAATCTGTTCTACAAATGGAATCATTTGACGTAGAAGTACAACAAGTTGTTCAAGCAGTGTTTGCATGAACTCTTGAATAGGTTGTTCTCTTTTAATAGAGACCTCAACGAAGGTCAACAACTTAGGCAATAAAAGTTTAAGATTTTCATCAATGAATTTCAAGCAGGTGCATACTGGTAAAGGCAAAGCCTCCTTAATGGTGCGCAAATCTTGCCAGATATGCTTAATCGCGGCTACAATGGGCTCTGGTAAGGCTTCTTTAAGGACACGAACTAAATTACGGAACGCAAGCACCACCTCCTCTTTGAGCACCGGCCGATAGGTAGGAGGCATTAACGTACTAGTGGGAATATGTGTTGTTCCATGATGGCCCTTCAATTCGAGACCAACGACCTGTTTGAATTGTAAGAAAACTTAAAAGTTGTTTTTAATTGGTAACTTCATCACCACTCTTACATTAAAAGCCAGAACGGCAACAACCAACAAAGAAGCGAATTTCAAATTTCTGCTAAACATATTTGTTTTCTATGCAAATATTTTCGATTTTTTACTCCTCCAAGAACTCAATAGAATTTGCAACTTTGTTACCCAGTATTTATACTAAACTTTTTTCGAAATTATTTAATACCTAAGACACGTTTTCTACGCAACAATTTTGTAATAATGAAAATCGTGATTTCTTTATCTCCTTGACTTGTGTTCAGACGTAATAGACCTCGAGGCTTTCCTAGAAGTAATACAAAAACAAAAAAAAAAAAAGAAAATGGTCTAACTTTTATTATTAACCAGAGAAAAACAATGTTATACATATATGTAAACCCGAACCCGTTCTTCTGTCCGCAATGCTTACGGATACTTGTTCACCACCGACATAACGTAAATACGGTTAATATTCGAGCAGGCGCAAAGAAAAAAAATAAATAAATAAATAAATAAAGTAAGATTGTCAAGATCAAGTTCTTTAATTTAATTGCGCAGATTCCCAAACAGTGATATGACATTTAAAGAAAAACAAAAGAAAAAGCTTAAGAGGAAACGGCTTATGGGAAAATGCTTCTTTTTTTTTTTTTTTTTTTTTTTTTTTGGAAGGAAGAGCAACAAAATAAGTAAGCTTAGTTTTTGAGCATTTATTTAAGTAAATAAAAAAAAAAAAGAATTATTTTCGAGAAATATTAAAAAGTGACAACACCGGAGCGATTATCGCAAGTCATATCTAATTTAAAGAGGTTCTGCAGCCTATAACTTAACTGGTGAGAATTTTAATTTAAAAAAAAAAAGCCAATGCTTTGGTTTCTGTATTTGTAGCTAGAGAAGTAGGTCAAGATTTTTTAAAAATTTGCATTCTTTGCGACTGGAAAGTACTTGGATCAAAGCAAGTAGAAAGTTGCGACCTGGGCAGATGACCAAACAAGCTTAACTTTACAATCAATTTCAGAATCGGTATAATAAAAGATAGTTTTTGGATGTTGAACACATTCACACAAACTCAATATACTTATATACCGCAAGTGGCGTAGGGTATACAAAGCAATCTTTTAATAATAAATAATGCATTACATTAGCTTATCAAAAATCTGGGCCTAGAGTGTTACGGTTTGTTGCTGGCACGAGAGCTGGGCGCAATATCTGAAAAGTCGCGAGATCGTGCGTTTTCAGTAAGAACATATGTGAACCTATATTATGGCTCAAAAGATTTTTACAACTCCAACCTGTAATGTTTTACGTTACGCTTTCCGGTTAACTCGGTTTCCAATAGACGACTTATGGTGTGTTCAAACCTTGTTTTCATTCGTATGACGATACCCAAAATGACAATTGTATTTTTGTTTGTAAATGGGTTGAAATGATTAGAAACATTTTCTGAAAGCATATATTAGTGTATTTAAAAAGCTAGAAATCGTCAAGTAGGACATGGGATGTACTTCCTAACAATGCGCCAGTGGAAGGGCCTGAAATTTCAAGTAATCAACAGCTGCCCACATATTCTAAAAGGTTAAGAGCACCGATTAAGCTTCATTAAGTTTTCTTGAAGAAGCAATTCTTTGATATTCATTTCATACAAGCGATAATTTATCGGATCCCTGGCAAAACTTAATGATAAAAGACGTATAATAATAAGCCTTTCAAGCGAAAGCAAATTAATAAGTAATAGTTTGTGTTCATATGGTAGTGATAATGACACACGTTGGCCGCGAACGTGCAGACAGTAGCAGTAATTTTTGAATGGATTAAACTACTTCGATAAGAAAACAGCGACGCGACATAGGCAGAGATATTAAAATGAATTATGTAAGGCGTTTTAGTTCCATAAATACCATTACACTTTCTAGATCAACGCATGTAAAGCGGCAACACCACGCCGTGAATGCTAGAAGAGATTCGGATTTATTAAGGGAACGTTGAATACATTAGGTGAAACAAGGGTTTAAGTAAGATTTGATTAACGTGAAGAAGCGATTGTACAATTTCCAATCTAGAAATATTAATAAATGTTCCGCTGAAGACCATGTCTTCCATATCTTTATTTGGATTTAATAATATAAACTTAGAAGTACTTGCTTAATAAGTCATATAAATCCGTGGGAAATATTTTATAAAATAGAAAACCCGTGAGATGCATTCCCTTTCCTTTCTACTGCGTCCAAAGTTGTTTCAGTTGCGTTGTTCCGTCCCTTGTAAGGATGTAAATAATTCATAAAATGCGTAAGCATTCATAAGAGGTACTAACACTTGAAAAGTGTAAGAAATGATTTAAAAAGAAACATCTATTAAATATATTCGAAATATCTTGAAAATTATCATTGACGCTTATGAAAACCAATGGCGACATAGAAAAATAGGAATACATTTACATTGAAAACTTGGGAAGAGTTTAAAGAATTTTTTGATGCTTTCTTATTTGCCATAGAGCAGCGACAAAACTTAACTGCATTTGTTAATATAGTGATTAATACGTGAATAACTTTCCAAATCCATCGTGTAATAATGTTTTATAATGAATTTTTCTTGGATTTGCATTCTTATGGAAACTTGGTTGCTTTCTTGGAAAAAAAAATCATTTCAATTTTCAAAATCCTTGTCTCAAGTAAACTAAAATTTAACTCTTATAGTAAATTCCTCAAACAATTATTGTTTCAAATTCGTATTATTACATGCACCTAAGTAGATTTTTTTGCCTCGATTCTAAGCTATTTGCTTTTAGGCCAAAGTAACGCAATTACATGCAATATATTCAATAGATGATGTAGGCTGTAGTTAAATTTGCACGCAAATCGATGAGCATGATGAGGGTAATCTTCCTAAATTTGATTGACAAGTAAGAAGCATGCTGCTGATGTTGCTGGATGAAAATTGAAAATGTTCCTAATGAATTTAAGCTAAACAGTGTATGATAAGACATAGGTTACAGCATATCTCAATACAGCTGTAAAGAGTAAAGAGACGATCAACCTAGTTCATCTCGATTTAGATAGGACAAGACCATTCAAGGGAAACTTAGCAAGAGAGTTAAGCAAAATTGGGATAAATAATTTGCAAAGACATAAATTATTATGTAAATGCATTGGCTATTTTGTTAGGGGAAGTCATCACATAATCCGCAAAATGAAAACTCGCTTGATTCGTTTGATTATCCTTTTATTAGACAACCATATTTATAAAATAATTATAATTATTGAAATTCTTCTGTTATGTATTACGTTTGGTTATGAAGAAGAAACGAGAATAGTAATAAAAAAAAATTAAATATTTAATTAAATTTTCTTAAGCTTTATGACACGGTGACAGCAAGACGAGAAACAACATTCTCAATGAAAGGCACCAATTGGCGTAACAGCATTGACAGATGTTTCAAAATGATGCTGATCTCTTGTTCGCCTTGCAAGTATTTAGCAACAACAGTCATTATCTTAGGTAGCATGGTCTCGTTAATGATGCGAATATTTTCCATAATACTTGTAATGGAATGATAAAATGCGGGGGAAAGTTCCTTAATAATGAGGAAGATACCCTCAAGAACGCTTTTCATGGCGGAGATCACTTGTGGAGGTAATGTGTGTTTAATGCTCTCCATAAGATTATCGATAGCGATGACAATCTCATTGGGAAGCATTTCTTTAAATGATTTCCAAATAAGAAGGGTTTCGCTGGTATTAATGCGCACCAAGGTGGTTCCTTCAGCCTCGTTGACCTAAGATGAAATAATGAAGTACAAAAATAAAAAAAATAAAAATAATAATTAGCTGGGAACATATTTCATTTTGATCATTTTTTTACACACGAATTGAACTCACAGTCAAAGCAAAAATGCAAATCACAAAAATTGAGAGAAAAGTGAAATTTTTGAAGAACATTTTTTCTTTGCTTAATTTTTCCTTGCTTGTTGCTTGAAAGACCTTTCACTGAAAATTATATCGGAAGCTTAAGAAATTTTCGTATTTATATACATTTCCATATTAATAGCGAATAATTTAAAAACATTAAAAACTATTATGATTGAATGATAACAGAACAAATCGTGATCGAAGAATGTTTATGTAATCCAAACTTCAATTATATCATACCACGAAAAGGTTCTTGTAAACAACAGCTTATCAAAGAGGATTATTATTATTATTATCATATATGGTGTTTTTAGTTTAATAATTACCCCATGTTAAAATCAGCTTTTGTGTTCGTGTAAGCATTGCTCAGTTAAAACAAGCACCTCGAGTATCCAAAATGAACAAGGAAACGCTGTCCGAAAGAAGTGCGCTTATCTTATTTGTCGAAGGAGAAAAGACTTTTTCCTATCGTCATTTGTAATAGCAAGACGTGCGTATGAGCAACTCATTGCTATTGCACCGGTTGAAGCAATTAGCAAAATCGCAAGAGATTGACGTATGGTAGGCGGAAACAAATTCGACTATTTCTCCGTTTAAATGTGGCTCCGAAGACGAACGTATTTTTATATCAAATTTTTGATTATTAGTTAGTTTCCCCTGCAGCCAGAATTTTTTGACTTCCATAAAAGCTTGTAGACGCATCCGGTTCACCTCATTTCGGTCCAACCTTTACGACTGGGGTATATTCTTGGATTAAGTACACAGATCAGACTGCAAAGTCTTTCTGATCATGAAATTTAAGCACGAAATACTACTTTACGGTTGAACTAAAGCCGACAATAATTTGACATTTTAAGCAAAACATGTCTTAAAGGAATTTAAAAAATCCCCCTAAAACGACGGACGAGATAGTTCATTGCTAAGGAATATTTCCTGGGATTTTGTATCATACAGGCCGGTGGCAGGCTGCTTAGATCTACGCTGCTCCCATATATCGGGTTTTTCTCATGTCATCTCTCCTTGACAACGGAGTAGAGAGAATGCATAAACATTGCATTAAATGAAATTTCATATTTGAAGAATTTTTTCCCAAATTTTGTGAAAGTGTTATGTCAAACGTACATATAATGAAATTAATTAACTGCATTTGCTTTTAGCTTTTATTTGCGAACGAATAATGCTTTAAAACAAAAGTAAGTAAATAAATGAAAAGAAGCTATATCCAAAAATCACGATTCTTTCTTCAAATCAAACATTTTTTTTTTTTAACAGAAAATAGAAAACGTGTAAAATTGAAAATAATAAAAACTGAACTATTAAAATTTCTATATAAAAAAAAAATAAAAAAAAAACATTACAAGCTGATATCCACAGAACGTTCCAGTAAATTTTTAGTGTTTTTAAGCTATTCCAGCCTTTAACAGGAAAATGTCGTATAAAAATTTAAAATACGTTTCATTACGTGTTATAACAACATTGGCATTGAATGTAAGTTCGCGAAAAAAAAAAAAAAAAAAAAAAAAAAAACGATTTTTAATTCATTCTAATGTTGATTTCATTTGTATTGTTTGTATTTGTGGCCCTATATTTAACGTTATAGTTGGCCTTTGTAACTCTAAATCATGGGCAGAGAGTAAAAGCACAAAAAAATTCTACCACCGCTCTATTGGATTTGAAACCTATAACTGATCTTTTGCCCTTGGATATTATTAAGCCCGTTCGAGATTTGATGAAAACTTTGCCTGCTTTACATCAACTTCTAGTGCTGTTCGTAGAGTTACTGGAAAAAATTGTCCCTTTATTAAAGGATGTTGTACGTAGTACCGGAGGCTTATTACAAATTATTGGCCGTGTTTTGGATTTGTGAATATTTTATAAAAATAGCACTCGGATGAAATGATATAATTAAAATAAAAAAAGAAAAATAAAATTGAAAAAAAAAAAAAAAAAAAGAAATATGAAATATAAAAGCGAAGCAACTCAATTACAAGCAATTTTATATATGTACACAATATTTCATGAGACAATATTCTCTAATGGCAATGCTGGTGACTAACAAAATTTTCCGTGCAATTAAGTATGCAAATTATGTCAGTGAGCTGAGTAAGGAAAGTTTTGAAAAGTTTTTCAAATATCTATTTGTTAATAAAACAAAATTTAGTTGCAATATTTTTTTATTTTAATAATAATAAGGTTACACTCTTCGTGGCTCCGTCAAATAGTCTTGAATAGTCTTCCTTGCAATATTTACTAACAGGATTCTAAAAGCGACTTATGGATGCAGTTATTATAAGTCAAAATGCATAATTCCCATCCATAAAAATGATTAAATTCCCTTTAAATGTGTATGTTCTTACAAAACGATTTACGACATTCTGACGGTCAGGGTACTTTCTAATTCTAATCAGTCTACTGCCCAACACGAAATGGTGTAGAAAAAGATAAATGCTAATTGATTTCAATGTTGAACTATATACAAAATTCCCAAACTATGAAAAGTTCGCGTTTTTTCCGAAGCATCTTTATAAAAAAAAAAAAAATACAATACTATCGAGAAAAATTGTTATTATTCTAGAGTGTTAAATAGACATTATTATTAATGATGAACAAAAATATATGAGTAATTTTAATGAAAAAGTTTAGCTCAGGAAATATTTCTCGACGTATTTTCTAAGAGACTATGAAGCAAACAAAGGTTTGACAAATTGGATAAAGAAAAAATCGTGTTTGTAAATAAAGTAGAATTAATTAAAAATAAGTGATAACACTACAAAAGGATGCAGTTCGTGGTTAAATACCCCACAATACTTCCTTTAATATAGTTATTCATAAAAAGATCTTTCAAAATAAGCCTTCATATGGAAGGTGATCGAACAATTTTCAATAGGGCTCGCCTTTGGGTCAAAACATGGCGGTGTATCAAATTTCTACAAAATATTTCAAAAATAACGGATGGACGGACAAGCTTAGATTGCTTCAGAAAGCGGTTCTGAACATCCGCACAAACTCAATATAATCTTTTATAAACAAGCTGTGTAGGATATAACAAAGGAAAAACATTATAACCGGGCAAAGCTGACGATTAAATACCCTACATCACTTTGCCGTATGCAATTATTAATTTGTCTTCGTGATAATATACGAAAAATTATACTTTTTTTCCAAGTAAAAGCATAGTTTTCATGGCAGCCCTCATATGAAAGAGCGCCCGAAATGTGAGCTAATATGGTTGAAAAATGATAAGACGATCCTTTCCGTTAATTATTTATATATATATCGATTTTCTCCTTAAAGTACTAAAAATTAAACTTTGCTCCCGCATAAAGGCTTACTTTTCATGAGTACCCTTATACAGAATGAAAACCGAAAAATAAACCTTCGTAGTGCAGATTTGATGTCTAACTATTAATATGGCCCAATTTCGCATCACAGCGTATCAAAAGTTTTCCCATACAAAAGCTTACTTCGCCTTCGCACAAATTTAATTTACTACTAATTTGACTACTTTTAAAATTATTGCCTCCATGTACAAGGTATTCATTAAGTTCAATTTCATATTTATATACTATGGCAGTTTTGGTAGGGGGTGCGGGTTTATATAACACCCAGAAGAACTTAAGATAGACGGCCATCATTCATTACGGCCATCAATTCGATATATTGTCTGAGTCGATTCAAGCTACTTTGCTTGTCTGTCCGTCAGTCTGACTTCTGTGCATGTCATATATTGTGTTTTTGTGTTTAATTTGTAGGACAATATATTTGAGATATTTTGTAGAAATTTAGTAAATTAAGGTGTTGTGGCTTAAGGACGAGCGTTATAGAAAATGGATTGAATCGGACAATTTTATTTTTCGCATAATGCCCAGCTTGAAAGAGTCGGGACATGGCAATGTTTCTCGGCGTAAATCTTTTAAATCTTTTAGTGTGTTGGAGTACTTAATTAATCTGGAAAATTTTTGGGATCCACTATACTGTAAGGAAAATTAAACGCCCATATTATTTATGTCAATTCTGCTATTTTTGAAGTGATCCTTAACGCGGTGTACACATGCATTGAATGGATATGTTAAAAATGTCACTGGTTAACGTACGTAGGAGGGCAAAAATTCTTAATTGAATTCTAAATGGTAGTAGATAGAGTAAGAGAAATGCTATTAATATATAAATACATATATATGCATGTATGCATGTGTGATTTTAGTAAACGATTCTCTTTTCAAAAATGGCAGTAACAGTAAACGTGGCGTTAATTTTAGACATTTTGTCTGTTGTTTTTCTGCTCTGCATCGTACTTATTCAGACTAGTTTGATAAGATTTTTCATTAAATTTGAAATTAGAGCAACAGTTGTTGTTGACACATTTTTGTGTATTATTATGAGCACTAAAAGTACATTCGGTTTTATTGTATTGTATTCTTGTTGTTTTTGCATTTCCATATAGTGTTATAACTGTCAGCATGATTCTGAATAATTAATGACAAATGTATGATATGAATAATGTACGTTGATGCAATATATATACGTATGGTATAAATAAAAACAATCAAAATGCAAAGAATATAGAAACTTATTTACATATGCAGGGATGCATTACGTCTTCATCACAAATTCATTTTCTATCATGATTGAATTGCGGCATAAGTGATTGCTGACATTTTTAAGCTCAACAACACACGTTCGATGTGTATATGTAACGCCTTTCTCTTCTCTATTGTAATCATTCTTCAATTAAAACAATCATTACATAGAAGATCTTACATTTTACATATCTCAGCTCTCTTTGTAGTGCACTTTCTTTGTTAATCACATTTGAAACATTTGATATTAGACAAGGAAAACGGAACGAGATTTAAATTAATGAAATTGATGGGAAAAAATGCTTTCATTCATTGAAAAGAAAATGTAAATTAGAAGCCAGCAGTGCTCGCGTAATTTTACATTCATTTTAAATACATAGAGTAAGTGTCTCTGATAATAAAGTTTCTTTCATATTCAAGTGGTGCAGGCTGGCGAATGTCGGAAGTTAATCGAGTTTATCTCCAGGTGCTTTCTTCTTAAAATCTTATTGCGAATTCCTTGATATTTTCTATCCTAAGGCTGGCTACCGTTGTGCCATATCAATCAAGTGGTAACTAATAAGTGTAATGCTGTGACTAGAACGTAGGACCAATATTCAAATTCAATTGCACGAGTATATCGAATATGAGAAATATTTTTTTATCTAATTAAATAGCACTGTGACAGACATCTATGTCAAATTTGATATCATAAACGTCATTAGTGTTTCATCTGCGCTTGATTTTGTACGATATAAAAAATATTTTTTCTTTATTTCTACAATGTCTGTGAAAAAAATTAATTTCTACCTATCCGAACGTCATGAAAAGCATTATGCTGGGAGATTTAGATCTATGCACATATCTATGCACCCCTGAAAGATCGTGGTGTTGCGCACTATCAAATCCTTCTGCCGGATCAAACTGTTAATAAGCAATATTATGTGAGTTTAAGGATTCCGTTGAATTTCCTAGCGATGAAATAGATGTCGAATAGTGAATAGATTTTTAAAGAAAGAAAAAAATGAAATTGGTCTTACTTTTTTGACACATTAGTACATCATTTGAACCTACATTTTTTTAGATATCTGCACATTCCATTTTCTCTGTACATAGATTTTTATTTTGATTTATTATTTTTTTTTTTTGATTTATTTCGTAATTATGGGTGAATTCTTCGGCCTCTTCTTTCTTATTACGACGAGCAGAATATAACGAACATGCTTAGATCGATTCAGATTTTGATACTTTTTGACATAATGCATATGTGTATACAAAAATAAGAATAAGCGGGTTAAGAAAGTGGCTTTCGTCTTGTGGGGAAATCTCAAATGGTCTATTTTTCGAACAAATAAAACAATTAGCAGGCGATTGGATCTATTTTTGCAAGAATTACTAAACAAATTTGTTAATCGTTTACATTGAATTTTGGATTGAGGCTTTTCACGGAGAACGGAGAATGTACACGCGTAATGTTCACCTTTTTATCTCAATTCTTTCGACGGCGATCATCTTAACAGAATTTCAATCTTATTTAGAATATGTATATAGATTTTCTAAGCTAAATTTGGTTTTCTCAAGTCTTCATACACGACTTCAATTTTCAATGCAGTAGACTATACTCTAATTACGATTGCTGTGTGATTAGACTTAAGAAACTTTGGCTTGTTTTAGGCAGAAAATCAAGTTTCTCTTTTCTCTCTTTCTTTCAATGCGAAACATGGTTCGAATTAATTAAAGATTTAGTGTAGAATTACCATTTGAAAGCACTTGGTAAAAATGTTTTGTAGTACGAAACAAAAACTGAAACCAGTTTAACTCATTTTAACCTCATTATATTTAAACAAAATACTTCAATTTTTTGAGCTGCCATCATCAAGAAGTGGGGGAACATTAATATCAATTTGAAAATAAAGGAATGAAGAAATATAAAAATAAAAAAAAATAAAAATCTCTACTCAATACTTTTCCTTCCATTCCCTTAAGTGAAGTTATACATTAGCTATATATGCTGTGTGTCTTTGTAAAAGTTTTAGCTGTAAATGTACTTGAAAGCCCTACGAAGCGTGTAACACGTTACCTAATGTATATGGAGCAAAGAAGAGCTGCAGCAGTAGCAGCAGCGAACCAAACAAAAGTAGCCATGTTCTTAACGACCTCTTTGGCAAAACACAAAAATTGTTGTTGTTTTTATTGCTGTTGTTGTTGGCAATGCAGAACACTGCTACATAAAAGTTGTTTAAAAGGCAAAGTGTTTCCTGTTGAATGAGTTCACTTTGCGTAAAAATGTTTCATGACAGCACCCGACATTATGCGAACATTTTACCAGCAAAGGTAGACCATTTTATTATGTATACATACGTGTATGTATTTAAG